GGCACTGCTGTGTCTGAATCTGTGTTAATCAAATTAGAATTAAATCTGAACTTTATTTAGACACAATCTGACCAGAAAGAAATGACACTCTGGCAGGAGTCTGAAACCAGTCCCTCTCAAATAACATTAGTCACAAGATAGCTAGCATTAGCCATCAGTTTCTGTCACGATTTTGTTGAAAATCAAACACCTGAGCAGAACCATGTACACTGTATTGATCACAGGCTTCTGAAAATGTGTTGTTAACCCATTTTGTATTTTTTTCTTTGATGTTTTGATATTTTCAGACAATATTTAAATGTATCAGGCGATGTTTGCTAATGTGTGCATTGCATCATCATGGTAACAGCTAAAGATTCAAGCATAGACATATATGCAGTACACCCCCAGCGTAATGTCACTGCAAAGAAGCAGAAATCACTTACACTGATTGCGCAGGTAGGGGACATCCTGGGTACACAGGCTCCTTTTCCTTTTGCAATATAATACAATATATTATAATGTGAGCTACTTAAAGTTATAATGAATGGAAATAGCTCATGAATTAATTGCCAACTTCTTTCATAATTAATTTCTTTTGAATTATTACGAATTGTTAACGAATTAACAAAATATTTATCTATGAAGCACATGTTTGATTTTACAGTTGGCTAAGGTTTATATTACATATCTCACCCCCAAACCACATTACTGTGCACTAAAATGTTCCTTGTATGGCAACGGAGCAAAATCACAGGTTTAAATCTTCCAGTAAATCTGTGGAAATAGCATTACATTTGCATTTTATCCTCTTTTACATCCAGCGAGTGTCATGCGATACCAATCAATCACAGAGGAAACTCAATCTATCTTGGAAAATAACTGGGGTTGCTTGATTGTATTTCACACCATAGACTAATCCCGGAGGTCTGAACCTTTGAACTTCCTGACCTGGCCCCTTCATCTCATTCCAGTCATCTTCACGTCACCTCATTTGACAGCAACATGTCATAAAAACTCCCCCACAACTGGAGAAAGTTTCTAAAAATGAAATGAGGAAACTTGTGATTTCAATATGTCTTAGACTAGTAAAGTCATTCTGAAGAGAAGGTCTGTGATTAGTATGCACTTGAGGTTACAGTGTGGCAAGTCAGCGAGTGGTTGATTTATTGAATATTAAAGCACACTTAAGTAAATTGTCACTTAAGATTATTTCTACTTGTGAGAAGTGACTCAATCCTGGCATAACCTCCCCATCATCAACAGTTGCTGTGGTTTGGGCCTATAATAATTATTTCTGCTCAGTTCCAACCAATGTAGAAATCGAGAACAATGTTGGGAAAGAGTTAGAAATTATAGGCATTATTATCATTAATAAATCCAATATCACACACACAGTTTGTTATGTGGCATTACTAACTTCCTGAGATGTGGCTGTGAGCTGAAAGAACTCATTGAGACAGGCCCTTGAACCTCTTACCTGAGGGGAACCTGCATGGAATACTTGTGAGTAACCTGAGGAGGGTACTGTTACAGCAGCTGACGTTTAGCGCTTTGCTCAAGGGCTACTAAAGTAAGCAGAAGGAGCATAGCTCACATAGTGGGAGAGTGGCCTCAGCACCTTTTACATTCCAGTTGACCTCGAGGCTACACTGATGCTGGCAGCACAGTGTGCAGCTGACAGCTCCATCGCTCACTCTATGAGCCTCTATAGTCTGATGTACAGAGCTGCCATGGCTTCCTCCGCTTATCACATGTGTACACTGAACAAAAATCTTCTGTATCTCTTATTTTTGTTGGAAACAAAACAAACAATGTTAAAGAAGACGTACTGTGCTTATGTCTACTAGAGTTATAATCTATGACACAATATGAATCTAAAATGACTAAAAGAAACAAGTCAGCTGATTCCTGCATTAGAAAACTGCAGTACCCAACGGAAGCTGATGTCACCTTAAACAGCATCACGACAAAGACCCATGTAGCAGTCGGCATCTGTCATTTTTCTTTTGTACCAAAATGAGTATGTGGTGCAGCTGAATCCTAGGCATATCATCAATTAAGAAACTAAAATTGGGGAACAAAATAAGTACAGAACAGTGGGCGTATGCTGGTGGCAGTGAAAACTGGAGTTCTTCGGCAATATGCCGTCTTGAAAATAAGCGATTAAAGATTGTTCACACATGCATGAACCACTCCAAATACAACTTGGAGAGGGAAAATGAGAAGTGGAAACAACTGTAACATGGTTCAAAGCTCTGAAAAGTGGATTTTGCTAAAATGATCTGCTTTAAAATTCTATAATAATGTTTTTTTATTTGTAAGCCCAACTTTCCTAGCTCTTGTTCCCCAGCCAGTTCTGATGCTGTTCTTGCTTGAGACACACTGGCCTGCAGTGTTATTTTCTGGAGCTGACAGTTAACATGCAACACACAAGCACATTATTAGGGAAACAAACAGCATTTACTGCACATATACAATGCAGTGCAAGCTGAGAGTAGCATCTCACATTACCAGAAACCTACTCCTGTGCAGTGTCAAACTGTACTAAAAGAGTGCATTGCTCTGCTTTGCTCTTTTTAGCTAAATAGTTGTCGTCTGTGTTCAGTCCAGAAACACAAGGAGATGCATTTGAGCTGTTATCTAAGCAGAGACGGTAAAGACGACAGCTTGTTGGTGAAGAGGCAAACGTGAGGTCAGCTCTGTGAACTCTAGATGCTACATTGTTTTTAGCTGCCCAAAATGACAGGCAGAGAGATGGAGGTTTCCGTAGCATCTCTCCACAAACATGGAGCAGTGGCCTAGTTTGAGACAGGATCAGAGCATTAGTCTTAATCCTGCAGATAGATGTCATATGCACACAGACACACACAGGCACACACAGACACACACACACAGACACAAATATAAAAGAAAAAGTGTGGACTGTGGTTGTTTGTATTACTGCACTGGCACATATGGTGCGCTGTCATGCAAGGTCCCCAACTACACACAGGGGACAGTCTCCTCTCTGATTGCACCGTAATACCCTGAACTCACGGGGGTGATTGTGCTGTGAAAGGTGATTTTTATTTATTTTTTATTAATTTAATTAACTGTTGGATTTATATAGCGCCTTTCAAGACACCGCTTTAAGGTACATTATACTTCACACATGGTAGCCAGAGCTGCCCTGGAGCAGACTAACAAAAATGAGGCCCCCCAAAACACCACCAATACTCAAGCACACATCACATTCACACTTGGCAATGTGGGTGAAGTTGCCTCGCCTATACACAACAGCAGTTTTCTGTCACTGGCGCATCACTGTGGCACATGGACTCCCCAGTAGTCTCCCATCCAAGTACTAACCAGGCCCGGGGATGCTTAGCTTCTAAGATCTGACGAGATCAGGTTTTGACAAGCTGGTATCTTCTATCTAGTTTCTATCTTCTATTTATTCACTTGCAGGCATTTTTATTGCTTTGAAAAAGATGCATTTTTCTATGCGTGGGGTCTCCTCTGCACAGATAAGTTTAAGCTGTCCTATGGAACATTCCAGACAAAAAAACGAAACTTTTCCATGGAGACAGAAAAGTTACAGTGCATCTAACTACAGTATATTCCAAATTGTATAACTGGCCTCATATTCTCCCGTCCCCTCTGTTGTTATTAAAAGAGGCATTGCATGTCATACACAATGCAATAAAAGATGAAAAAAAAATCATTCATCCCTTGTTGTTCCCCTCAAGGCCTCAGTCAGTGGCTTCTCTCTCTGTAGATTAAACGCATGTGTCACCAGAAACAGCATAGAGAAAAAGACCAGGGAGAAAAGACAGTGGATATGAGGTAAAAATCCTCCTGCAGCCTGTTGTTGTGCCCCCCCTTCCCTCCCTAAGCCCGTAGAGGAAGCATCACCGTTTTGATGGATGAATGGGTTTTTACTGGATGACCCTGGGACTTACACAGGGGACCAGGCGGCAGCGGGCTGGAAGCGAAACAAGAGAGACTCCAGCTCTGCATGTGACGCCACGTTTCTAAAACACAGCAGGAGTGGGAGCCATAAAGGTTGCAAGGTCTACATAATAACAATATATTTAATCTCTTGTAGTGTAAATACTATAGTATAGTCATTCCCAGTCAGCAGTACTGCGGCCCTCCTGTCGATGCAAAGATCCCACTGGGCACCATTAATAATAATTTACACTACATTTAAAAGAAGATGCCAAATTTTTCCCTTACAAATATATGTTAAAATTATATAATTATATCTGTTGGCTTAATATTAATATGAAGTAGTAAATGTTAACAAGTACATTATGTAAAGTTCATTTCAAAACAAATCTTTTACACTTGTGAGTGAACAAGCATCGAGGCCCCCCTTCCCCTGCAATGCCTCTGAGCCCTACCAGAGGGCCTCGCAAGTCACTTTGGAAATCACTGCTGTAGTATAAAAATATGTGAACATGATGCACCTATTTAAAAACTTACTTTATGGAACATTAAATGAGCCGTCCATTTCTTTGGCTTGAAACATGTTGCAGAAACACTGGGAACTGACTGAGCTCTTGTAGTTAAATACTTTTAAATCCAAGGTGAAAGCATCAGAGACTGCCTCAATAATGTCCATTTGTTTCTCCCATGATCTGTCATTTTATTGTTGTTTGTATGAATGTTTCTAATTATGTAATTGTTGCCTTTTGGCCAGGACTCCCTAAAGAGATTTTTAATCTCAACTCATATATCAAATAATTTAAAAAATCATAACAAAATGAATGCATTCTACTGAAAAGATGTGATGTGCCATTGTATCTCAGCAGTGAAAGCCCCAATGAGGATCACACACAGTCACATGGCCACTGGGGAAATGATCAGATCCGCCATATGTGGGCTGTTTGTCCATGCCAAGTAATACTGGGACAGAGTAAAACAGCTGGCTTTGTATCAAACCTTCAACTGATATCATGTGAGATCTTTAGTAGGAAATCAGGTCATTTGTTTCATTTTACCCAGGCAAAAAGACATGTTATGAAGACACTTACAGTCAGCATCGGCGAGCAGGAGGAAGCTGAGGAGGAGCAGACCCGGGCTGGCAGAGTGCATCATGGGATATGTCGACACATGCATGCTGTATCCACCGTGAGCTCACTGCCTCACTGTACGAGCGGACCACAGGAACAGGCTTTCACAACCTGGAGATCAAACACATGAAGAAGAAAAAATACTGTAATTCGATAAAATGTGGAAGCGCTATGAAGTGGAGTTTGCAAGCTGGCTCTAGGCTTTTACACAGTAGCAGCTGCCTCTCCTTGCTTCATTAATAACATACACTTATAGCCTGAGGTGTGTGTGTGTGAGTATACAAGTAACTTACAGCGTTAAACATCTGTTCATTTGGCAGTTTACATTTTGACAAAGTTAAAGGGTCTAATTACATTACTTTTTGATCTATGTTATCATGTTTCCTCATCAAAAACAATTTGAAATCTACCGCTTCAAGTCATCACAAGGTGGAATAGAGCATTTTGCGCTTTGGAGATGTAGAGAGACACACATAAGGGTTACTCAACCATGAATGAACGAAACAAAATACAACATAAATACATTCAAGTATGTCATTCTAACATATCTTAAAGCGCATAAGAGTCAATTGTGACTAATATAGGAGCTTTAATTGACACAAATATCTTTCTGATCACATAAAACATTTCAAATTGACGTAAAAGAGTGGTTTTAAGATGGAGGGCGAGGAGGCAGGGTGGAGTGGGTGGAGCAGGCAAGAGGAGGGATTGGTGATGGATGATAGAGAGATTAAAGTGGGAGGGGACTAGCTGGTGTTATCTGCTGGCTATGTTGCACTCAGCGCTGGATAAACGTACAGCTCAATGTCTCCATCCTTTCATCCAGAGCTTAGCTGCTTCCTCAGACCCTCATCTTGTCTTAAGTTCCCTTTACCACTTCCCCTATAGGCTCCTACATTTTTACAGACCCTGCCTCCTCTTTGTGCAATACATTGGACACTTTAGGTTCCTATTTAAACCTTTCCAAGTATTTCCATATACTTACATAGAGATGGGGCAAGAACTCACGCCACAAGATCTTGCGAGAGAAAATTGCTACAAGATTGTGCATACATGAGAAAAATTATCTTGTGAGATTTCCTTTATGTGTGTTAACATTTAGATTAGACAAAAAGGGTTGAGTGCTGGTGAGTAATACTGTATCTACTATAAAAGCAGTGCTAAAATTGTCTACAAAATTTTACATAAAATTAATTTTAAAATGTGAGGGTAAAATAATTTTTTTGGACCCAATGTCTCCACTGGATCCACCCTGTGTCTCGTCTCACCCCTACTTAAAATACACCACTACAATGTTTAATAGGCTGCTTCAAACAAGTCTTAACACCAAATGCAATAAGCCACAGTCATGTAATTGGCTAATAACTTTTTCATATTCAAAATCAGTAGGACTTGGCCAGTCAGAAGAAAAGTACTGCATTGGGGAGGACATCTACCTGTGTCCAAAATCTCAAATTGCATGACATGATGGGAGAGGCACATCACTGTTACGGTCCACACACACAGAAGAACACAATCTTGATATTTGTGCTTCAATATTATCCCATAATATGCATATGTGAAGCCTATTATACTGTATATCCCCACATGAGTAGCTTAACAAGCAGTAACCAAACTGATGCATATACATCATGTAATATTGTTGGATTCCTACAGTACACGCATTCTTGTGTCCAAAAGCGTTCAGTCCTCATCATTGCCGGCAGCAGCGGTAGTCTTAATCCCTGCCACTCCTGAACAAGCCGTCTGATTAAAAAAGTGGAAGGGAGGGGGAGGGGGCAGGAGAAGAGAAGAACGTTGCTATAGCTCTTAGCATCAGCACAGTCCAAGGCAAAGCAAGCAAACTAAATCCATGTGGGATTTTCCACTTGGTCCGGTATAAAACAATTGCTTTGGGGATAACCTAGATCTCTGTCCTCTTCGCACAAATTAAGTTCTCAGCATTTTGATTTGCCAAAGCTGCAGTAGATATGAGAGGGGATGGACATAAGTACTCACTGAGTTTGGCTTGCAGCACGAGTTTAGGATGAATAATGTGTATAGACTCTGTGTGGTTGAAATGTACTTAAACTTATTGAATGTGAACTGGGAACAAATGTAGGATCTGCAAGTTCACTTGTGTTTTGTTGCAGCAGGGGTGTAATGGGAGTAATTAGTTTTTAATGAGTGCCCAATCTAATTACGTGAAAATTATAATAGGCCAGCAGTGCACCAAATGATATGATTACTTTATTTTCAATGCTGTGACTAATATGCAGAAAAACAAAGATTCAAAAATAATATAAAAGATATATAATTCTGAATACAAATATATTTGTGTCATGCATAATGTGTACAGTTTACAGTATCAATCTTGCAAAGTACAATAAAATGTATAATTGTATGAAAAACATAATATCATATATTAAAACATATATTTAAGTTGTTACTTAAAACAACATACTAATGAGTGAAATGTACAGAATAACTAAAGCATATTTAAGTACAAATAAAGGTGTATTAGCAAAAGCAACAGAAGCTTTTCTACCACTACAGACACTACTGCTGCAAAAACATTTTTAAGGGTAAAGCAATATTGTGATTTTATTTATATTTATATTTATAATCAAAGGTACTGAAGATGCAAAGTAACACTCTGTCCTAACAATATAATTCAAGGAAAACTCAAATACATCTTACTTTTAAACACATGTAAACTTCATATTATGTTTATTTAAGATTATTATTATTATGACGATGGATTTAAACACATTGGATAATTCATGCATACATTTCGAATTAATCTGAAGTCTGGCAACTGAAACAAGTGTTCACAGACAGCCAGCACAAATGTCATATGTTCTTTTATAGTTGATGTATTTGATATTTACCAGAGATCTGCATGTGCACCCTTGACATGATGAACCTGTGTGTTGTATGGCCACTACTCACTCCTGTGCCCGATTCAGTATCACTGGAAAAGCCTGCATTATTTAGTATCTCACTTTGCAGCACGTCACGTTAATTAAAAAGCTAAGATAACACAGGGAGAGAAGAGGCCCAGTGCACTGCAGGAGGAGAATTATGGTGCAGATAGATAAACAGATGAAATATAGAGCAGGATTATCAGCATGGGTAAAGAAATTCAGATTACTACAAGACTACACTTAAAAACACACAACTACATTGAGAGTTGTGATTCTGTGGCTTAAGATATGAGCCAAAATTTTGTTGAGGGTTTTTATTTCTTTTACAGACTTTTTTGCAACACCATTTGTCTTACTTTTGGGGTCACTAACAGATTTTTGCAGATATCAATGTTTTTAAGTTCATGGCAAAGCACACTAATTGAATTACAGTAGCAAAATGTATTTTCTCTGATGCAAAATAATTAGCTGTATAATTTATTTGACCTGTTCATCCTCCAATACCAATATTCACACAATATTAATCAGTTAGTTATATTTATTTGTCTTCCATGACGGGAAATTTCTATGGAACAAGGAAAGCTGCTCAGATATATATCCACATAAATTGCACTAGACAACACCAAAGTCACAGTGAAACAACAAAAAGACCCAAAACACACAAGTCATTTCCTCTTTTGGTTCAGTTCATTAATTATACGTATCGCCAAAACGGGTACAAAGAAGTTCCTGTACTGGAGCCGTATCCTGTCTCCCCGATTTCAGAGGGGGTGATTGACAGGCGGATTAACTAATCAGAAAGACACAAGTGCTGTTTGCATGGCTGCTCACAGATAAAAAAGGAGAAAAAAAACAACATTAAGGATTGAGAAACAGCATGGATTTTCTCAAAATTAACAACCGAAGCACCAAACTATTACTTTTCTCAGGTAAAAGAAGTGATATATTTTGTTTTGAATGACAGGAGAATTTGAGAGGGGATGTCTTCCACATTTGAGGGATTTGAGGGATGTGCTACAGATGAGCAGATGTGGATCGTCTCAAGTTTGGACAGAGGTTTTTTCATGCTCTACAGTCTGATTCCAAATCCTTATGGATTCGATACAGAAAGGAAAGGCTGGTCAGGCAAATTCCCGAGTGTATAAGCGTTTAGGATGTGTGTACAGTCTGATAGAGTCCTGTGAGGCTGGTTGATGGTGGATTGTTCAAACAGCTGTTGGGGGTGTCAAAGCAGTCCCCTAAGCTTTTTCCTGCTGTTTTCACCAGGCTTAAGAGATCTGTGATACACCATCCATACTACTGGTTGTGGATAATAGGACTGTTATGATAATTACAAGTACTATGAAATCTGGAAGAGTAAATTTTTGGGTTCAGTATTTATTGTGTATACATTTTCTTTGTACAGTGGGGATATGGAAGATAATTTGTTCCATCAGATTTTGAATTTTAAATACTGCTTAATTACTCATTTAGATTTTTCTTAATCTGAAAAAAAAAAAGCTTGAATTATTTTTATTCTGAATTTTAGTTGCTGAAATTTTAAGTTTACTTTTTTAACATGTTTAAAATTAGAAAAAAAAAAATGCTCATATATTTTCAAGCCCTCAAATTCAATAGTCAAAATTCTGAATGTAAAATTTGCTAATTCTGACCAATCAGATTGCTTCACTGCACCATTTCCTGCTCGGATACTAAATCTGATTGGATCGCTTTGAATCGATTGCTTTGGCCTTGGCATCCTGCATCTTTCCTGTGAATTTTTTTCACAGCGAATTTTACACTTTGAGTTTTGACTGTTGAATTTGAGAGCTTGAAAATATTTGTGCTGAATATTTAAAAGGTGACATTTTTATATTGAATTTTAAACAGTTGTAAATGTACACTTAAAATCTCAGCAGCAAAAATTCAGAATAAAAATAATTCAAACATGTTTTTTTCAGAGTTAAAAAATTCAAAGTGAGAAATTCAACAGCATTTAAAATTCTGAATCTAATGAAACAAATTGTATTCCATATGGGGAGATTTCGGATACTTTTATTGTAATATTATAAGATTTTAGCTGTAGAGGGTTGACTTCTTGAACTTTTGTGGCTAACTGTTGATTCATTCTGCTATGTATTTGTTGCAGCTCAAGCTCCTT